GCCCATTCTGTTGTTACAGGCCTGGCTGCTTTGATTAGCCAGGCCGGGCAAGGATCGGGAGAAGAGGTGGAGGCCCGACAGCGATCAAGCGCCTTGTCCACCAAATCTGATGTCATAGGCTGAAAGTAATCGAGAATTACCGGGCAAGGCGGAGCGCTGGACATCTCTGCTCGATCCATTGTATTTAAAAAAGGAGAAAGATCACGGCGGTGGATGGCCTCCACTTTAAATTTAAAAAAACGCTGCAAATTGGTCAGGTGAGATGCTAGCGGGAGGCCCTTCACCCAGACCAATTCCAGATAGATCGCGAACTATACGGAAGAGTTCCACCTGCTGATTAGAAGCATCACTTATCCGGTCAGCGATGTAAGATCTTCTAGCAGCCTTTACCTTAGCCAGGTAACGGTTAGTTGCGATCCTGACAGCAATTTTGTTGTAATCCGTCGGTTTCCTTCTCCACGCGCACTCTAGCCATCTCCTTATTCGCTTCATTGCTCGTAGATCCTGGGTATACCAGGGTCCTGGCCGAGCTCTGCTCCCGAGCGGGCGTTTGGATGCGATTGTGTCAACAGCCCTAGTAGTGGCGGAGAGCCAGCCGTCCACCAGAGCTTCGACTGGAGCGCCAGACAGTGCCACTGGAATCCCTCTCATGGTGTCCTGGAATCTCATAGGATCCAGTAACCTTCGAGTTACTGGATAAGAATACAGTGGTGCCCCGCATAGCGAGGTTAATCCGTTCCGGGTAGGGAAAATGTATTGAAACACATTAAACTTAGTTTAATGCGTTCCAATACCTTTCTTACTTACCCGTTCAGCGAGGATTCGAATTGCCGGCAGCCATTTTCGCGCCTTCGCTAAGCGAGGGCACGGCGTGAAAACGGGCTTCCGGCGGCCATTTTGGAGCCGCCAAACAGCTATTCGGCGGCTCCAAAATGGCCGCCACAATACCCGATTTTCCCCATTGCGACGATCGGGTACCTATGTTTCCGTATAGCGATCCCGAAAAAGGGATCGCTATACGGAAACATCGCTATACGGTGCACTCGTTAAGCGAGGCACCACTGTATAAGCTGAGGCACCCAATTTTACTACAAAAAAACTGGGAAATTTTATTGACTCAAGTATAAGCTGTGAGTGAAAAATGCAGCAGCTACTAGCAAATTTCAAAAATAAAAATAGATACCAATAAAATTACATTAATTGAGGCATTAGTAGGTTAAATGTTTTTGAACATACTGCCCTTCTGAGCTGCGAGACACACTTCACTGCCTGTGGAGGGAGGACTCATACCGGATGCTGTGCTTATCTACTGCTCTACTGCTGCGTAACAAGATGGAGGGAGACAGAGGATGGAGCAGGAAGGTGGGAGGAGGAAGGTGGGGACATAGAATAGGAGGAGGAGGAAAGTGTCCTGGAAGCAGAAATGCAGTGTACTTAACCCGGATCATCAGACCAACCACAGAGGCTGCAGGTGCCCATAGATGAGTGGGGGAGTCCGGAGAACACTTGCACTGCAGGGGAGAACATATAATTTTGACGCTGACTTGAGTGTAAGACGGAGTAGTTTTTCAGCAAAAAAATTGTGCTGAAAAACTAGGCTTATACTTGAGTATATACAGTAAATATCTAACATTTTGCTTTAAAAATATCACCATAAAACAGTTCCTGATGCAAACTTACAGTTCAGAGAAAACCATTAGTGTCACACTTTAAAAAAGGCAGTAGCATTTTTTGACAGTTCCACCAATGGCCCATGAAAACAGAGTATTAAATCCTCCCCTTCAAGTGCTAAAGGCTGAAGCTAACTATGCTTTCTTGAGGAATGCCATAAATATGAGACTATCACTGAAGCGGCCATGTCTCTAATGCTCAGAAACAGTATGATCTTGCCACAGAAGCCAGTGATCAATCTTAATGTTGGACAAAAATTAAAGAGGTGAAGTTTATACTTAAAGCCATTGTAAACACTAACAGTGAATGGTAATACACTGATTTTAGAAATACTAGCCAAACAGTTGTAATTTTCTTATTATTTCCATAGAGATGCACTACTGATTTAATGGGCACAACTGAATGAGTATATTTGAGTGACTGTTACATGCTCATTCATTTATTTACACTTAAAACAAGAAACACTGGAAATTTTCAGTTCAGTATTGAGAATATCTTGCTTTGTCTTTGAAGTACAGAATTGTATTCTATTTTTGTGTTTCATTAATCTTGCACAAAGCAAAAATTAATGTAGAATGGATTTTTTCTTGGTTTCAACATTACCTTTATTAGAAAATTATTAGAGTCGTCCTTCAAGAAATTAATGATGTAAGATTTGATTTTCTCAATCAAAAGACTGAAACTAAAATGTCGAAGAAACGAATGATAAGGATCTTTCTTTTTTATTATCGCAGACAGCTTCATTCGCAAAGGCTAAAGCAGGATAATTCAAAATATATGGTCAATATTATATTTTCTTACTTGCATTCTAACAAAGGCATATATGTTAGCTCTGTCTTTGCAGGCAGAAATGTAAGAAGCTCAGTTTTGAGAAACTATTCTAACGAAAACCAGATCCATGCTGTGCAAGTAACTCTTCGTTGCTTTAATATTTCCAAGCTAGAGCAGCTACTTTTTCAGCTGTAATGTGCAAAAGTATTTTTACATATTTCCCCATGTATTTCAATCAAAGTGTGAAATCAATAGCCACATCAAATAACTACATTTTTTATGTCAAACACCTTGATATCTAGAGCACCACCCTCTTCCCGCCCTCTTCATGCTAGCAATCTGGGATTGGAACAGTGTGGTCCAATACTCTGAATGCTTTATGTCTTGAAAGATGAAAAGGGGGCCAGGCAGCGACAAGGTCATCTAATTTGTTTTGACATACCACACAGTGGAGTGGAAAACAGCCATGAAATATTGCATCACCACACTTTCCCAAAATCATTCCAACAACATCATTGCCACTATTGCACTGAAACTGCAGTAGCATACTGGTGTATTACTGAAACCACTCTAAAATATTATGCTGCCTCCTTAACTGCAAGAAAGCATTTTTTTACAGTTTTAGCAGAGGGTCCTAAGATACTGTCTTGATCTCATATTTTGTCTGCAAGCCATAGCACATTGGTCCTCAGTAGGCTCCTCTCCATCAACTCCCTTCATTTTCTTCATGACATAGTACTCTCCTTAATGTCTCCATCTGTTATGCATCTTTCTCTACACTGTAGTACTTTCCCATTTCTGTCCCTTCTCATTTTCTTTTTTTCCCTTTCCTCCTCTACCTGTTCTAATTTCCTCTCCAATTTCCCCAACTCAGTAAAATTCATGTCACTGAAATGCTCCAAGATTGCCGCATGGCTGGCTCCAGAAGACTAGAACTGGCTCCAGTCATGTGCCTCTGAACCCAGGAGTGCCTTCCACTTTTAATACACTTGAATAAGCATTGAGCAGCTTATTGGATAGCTGACGTTCTCTCAGAGTGATCCAATAAACAAGGATGCATGCAATTATATTGCAGGCTTAAAGTGCAAAAGCCAGATCTACCATGACAATACTAAGAAATGTGTATAAGCCTTCATATTTGTACTTGCTAGAGGAATAGCACCAGTAGCACCAGTGTAAGCTTCACTCACAGGAAAAAATTAAAAGATCTTAGGTCAGTACTGAACTTGGCAAATCTCCACATTAGTAGTTTAGGTGGAGATGAAAGTATTTCTATTTTAAATATGTCACATTCTCCAAAACAAACTACCTGGTTTACCTTAAACAAATTCCAATACTACCTCATTTGAGAGAGATTCTGGAAATATCCTTTCTAGGACTTCTGTTGCTTCTTTAAAATAGCCTTTCTCCAGATACACTGCTACAGCCTGTAAGGAAAAAAACCCCTGCACATAACAACTTCCATCTAGTACATTCTGGGCTGTAAAGCATTGTCACAATCAAATAGCCTTTCCCAACCTAATGGTCTCCAGATGTTTTGGACTGCAATTCCCATTAACCCCAAGTGACATGGCAAAAGGTAAGGGATCATGGAAGCTGGTCCAGAACATCTGGAGGACATCCTGTGGGGGAAGGCTGCTTGAGAAACATCTATTATTTGTAAGAAATATAGAGAAAAGCTACTTGTGTAGCTTCATGTTATGACCAAACTTTGTTCATATTATTCACCTAAACATGATCTTAGGACATGATGCTTTTGTTGTGACTAATTAATAGTAATCCATGAAGAAACTGAGGAAACAGTATTCTGGGTGCACTGATTTACAAACGAACCTGGATCTGAATTAACTGCTTGATGTCTTCGTGGAGCTTGTCTTGCTTGTTTTGTGTTTTTAGAAATGAAGTCCAAATCAACAGTGCATTTTCCAGAGGGGAATCTTTTTGGCCATCATCAGAGTGAACATCTTAAGAGGAAATAAATGGAGTTACACTGCTAATAACAGTGTAAACATTTCAGCCAGCAAAAAACACAAGTATATAAACAAATTTACATCATATAGCTCCTCAGCTATTATCTGCAACCAGCTATTAAGGCTGAAAAAACTGACTAGATCAGTATTTCATACATAAATGACTGAAAATGTAAGTATATATATGCTTAACTCTGCAAAGCCTTAAAGTCAGTACATCATTTTCAATACTAGGAAACAATTTCTGTAAAAATACTGAACACAAGTTTAAACTTTAAAATTATCCCTTGGAATTTCTGCCACAACTTAAGGGAACTACATGAGTCCAGTCTTTCTGGATGAGCCTTTTACTTGCTGTAAGCTTGATTTAATTTAACTATATGCAATCCTGAATAGTGCAAGTTGAAAAAAAAATAGCAAGATGCTGTTTTACCAAATGATTTTCCTTCTGAAACATATGCCAACAGCTGACAAAGAAATACTGTTTTCTCATGATGTTCTTCTACTCTGTGTAACCCTTTGATAACAGCTGAAAGAAAGAAAGCAAGTAAGTTTAGCTCAGTTTTATTCCTACACTGCCCCTGTGTGGCAACTTCAGCAGGTCTGCTTGTGATTCTAAGAGTAACTACTTGAGATCAAATTGTATCTGAAAACAACGGAAGTAACTCCCAAACAAATATATTGAGAACTTGTGTATTAAGAAACAATTTATATTTAATAGCTGTCACTGAGGTGATTTCCCTAAAATTCACATGATAGGTAGAAATAAATGTGTCACAAATGCACCAGTTACATGTATTCTTTCAAAATTATTATATTATAGTTTTTGAAGTTGTGGCCATGTAAGTCTGCACAAGCATATTAGCAAGAAACAAAACACACACATACAAACAAAAACATGGTACCTTAAAGACTAACTGCTATATTTTAATGTAATATTTGTGGAACTAGCCCACTCTCTATTGTCTGAAGAAATGGGCTAATTCCATAAAAGCATACATTAAAATAGCAGTTAGTCTTTAAGGTGCCATGTCATATTTTCTTTCATTTTGTTTTGTGTTTGTTGCATATATATATACCGTAATAGTTATCCTAACTTTCAAATTGGGTGGAGATTCTAAAACATTTTGATGAGACATAGGCAGAGTAGAAGCAGTAGACATTTAGATTGCAAATAAACATGAAGCACATTTCATAAAACAGTAGACACATTCTAACAAACATTAAACTTTAATCTTTCCAGCATTATCCACAATAATTATTTTCCTCTCAGGAAGATAACAATAATCAGAACAATAAAGTCAAAGGTATAGCATAATAGATTAAAAGCAGTACAAATTAAACTTCAGAACTGCTGGAATAGCTATATATACCGTAATAGTTATCCTAACTTTGAAATTGGGTGCCTTGTCCCAGCTCCCACCAACCTAGCGGTTCGAAAGCATGCAAATGCAAGTAGATAAATAGGGACCACCCTGGTGGGAAGGTAACAGCGTTCCGTGTCTAAGTCGCACTGGCCATGTGACCACGGAAGATTGTCTTCGGACAAAATGCTGGCTCTATGGCTTGGAAATGGGGATGAGCACCGCCCCCTAGAGTCAAACACGACTGGACAAAAATTGTCAAGGGGAACCTTTACTTTTAGTTACTTTCAGCTCTGCAGTTGAGATAATGATAATGATAATTATTATTCTGAATTGTTGTTGCAAAACATTTCCCCAAGCTTTAAATCACAAGAAGCTGAAATGGAAATGAATGTGGTAAAGCTTCATTGTGGATCTTAACCAGGCAACCTCAGGCTAAGGTTTTCCCAGCTGAGATTAGGATAGTTACTATGTATCAGCCAAAACAGGATAGTTACTATGTATCAGCCAAAACAGCCACGCTACCATAAGCTCTATGAAAAAGAGGCAGAAACAAACTACAGTATAACAATAAATAGCCTGTTTCATTAAAATAAATTTTCCAGATATCAGAACGCCTTTCTGACTAAGCAACCAACTTTCCAGGACACAAGAAATACTTATTAGCTGCAATCCAGTTCCTTAGTGTAGTAAGTTACAACTAGAGTAGGGCCATCAAATCAGTGGACATCCGGTGAGTCAACTCTCGCATGAGTTCCACTGAATCAATGGTCCTACTCTAGGAGTAACTTACTACTTTAAGCACCAGGATTTCAGCCACAATTTCCAATTGTCACTAGTTTGTTAACCACACTTAGAACAACTTAGGGCTAAAGATCACAAGCAAATTCTTTTCCACCCGGGAAAGACTCATGACTCAAAACCTGGTGTAAACGACACCCAAATTTCCATTGGCAAGGCTTTTAATGCTCTTGGTTACCTTATTGCTTCCCATTATATTGCTTTTACTTTTATAGCATTGCTGTATCTATTTTATTGCTTTACTATATCTATTTTTAAGACAGGAGGGCCTGGCGTGCTCTGGTCCATGGGGTCACGAAGAAGAGTCGGACACGACTCAAAAACAACAACAACAGTATCTATTTTATAGCCTGACTGAGAATGGTTTCCACTGAAGGGAAGCACATAAAGGCTTCAAAGAAATAAACAGCGGCGAGACAGGCAGCGGCCGGACTATTACGGCTGAATTGAACACCTGGGAGCCACGGTTTCCTTTCCACAGATAAAAAAAAGGGAAGAAAAACGTATGTTGACTTCTCAGCCACTATTTTAAAAATACTCTTTATTACTCCCAGGAGTTGATAGTCCCAGTCTTCTTAATTGTTGTTGTTTGGTCGTGTCCGACTCTTCGTGACCCCACGGACTTCTTAACGCGCCTCACGAGAGAGAGAGGGAGAGAGAGAGACACGTCTCGCAGAGAGAGGGAGAGAGAGAGAGAGACAGACACGTCTCGCTACCGCCGCGACTCGCCCACTCAACTCAGCGCCAGGTCTCGGCTCCGCTCGAAGTCTTTCGGGTTGCCCTCACAAAAATGGCGGCACAGGGAATGGCAGGCGAAGTCCAGGATCCACCCGGCGGCCACCGCCTCCACCTCAGCGACCGGAACCGAGGAGCCGTACAGGGTCGGGGCGGCGTCCCCCGAAGGAGCCGGCCCAGGCAAGGGCTGGAGAAGAGCGGCCGCGGGACTCGCCCCCGTGGCCATGTTTAAATTTCGCGCCCCGCCTCCAACGGCCTGAAACGCCATCACGCTCGTCCTCGCTTCTCACCACGCCTCCCCCGGGAAATCGAGCGCTCCGTGACCGGGAATGACTCGCTCTGTTAAGCTCCTTTCTGTTCCTGCCGGAGATAATCCGCACGGGCTGTACTTCCGGTCCCCATTCAGTCACCGCTGTTTGCGGCCGCGGGGCAGCCGTGTGTGGGCGGGCCGCCCCCTCAGGCGAACTCGCCCTACGGCAGATGCCGCTTGAACGCTTCGCCGCCTGCCTGGGGTCCCTTTGCGTGGGTGGGTCGTCTCCACCCGTGTTCGATTGGAAAACGGAAATGTTGTTTTATTGGACCTGCCTAAAGAGGAACACAGGGAGGGGCCAAGTATCTCCCCACCTTTCCCCGCGCACGGTGGTTAAATTCAGTATATGCTCGTCCATAACACAGGCTCAGTGATAAACGTAAAAACAGAGAGAGGTCGTTTTATTTATTCATCTCCCAGCTTCCAAACAACTGGAGGAAATAGGCAGCGGATCAAATATTCACAGTCTCCTCGAAGTATCGTCATTTATGCCTGTATCCATTTCCACTGGGTTCCCTTGCCCGCGATGTATAATATTATTTATTTATTTATTTATTGGACTTATATACCGCCCCATAGCGCTACAAGCACTCTCCGGGCGGTTTACAATTTAATTATACAGGCTACACATTGCCCCCCCAGCAAGCTGGGTACTCATTTTACCGACCTTGGAAGGATGGAAGGCTGAGTCAACCTTGAGCCGGCTACCTGGGATTTGAACCCCAGGTCGTGAGCACAGTTTTAGCTGCAGTACAGTGTGCTATCAAGTCATTTCTCATTTATGAAAACCCTTTCCATGATTTTCTAGGTACAGAATACCAAAAAGTGGTTTCCCATTACCTGCTTCTGGGGGCATCCTGGGAAATAAACTAGTGGGTAGATATTTCACCCTAAATGTTTGAGGAAGTGGATTGATATGTGAACAGACACACACAAAAAAACACCCAACAGAAGTATTTGAAATGCAGATTTTGCACAGAAGGCAGTTCGTTTTTTAAAATTTTTGTTGACTGATGTAGTAGTACTAAAGTGAATGAATAGGAATAAACTCCGGAAGGCAGTGGAAGACAGGAGGGCCTGGCGTGCTCTGGTCCATGGGGTCACCAAGAGTTGGACACGACTGAACAACAACAACAACAAAATAAGCTAGGAATCAAATGTGTAACATTTAGAAAGCTAAAATACTTCTCTTATATAACGAGGAAACAAAACTACAGATTTTTACAGTTGATAATTCAGGTCAATGAAAAAGGAAATGCAGGAATGAGAAGAACCTGTCACTTGAAGAGCCTGGACAGGTGCTTTGGAGAAAACATGACATCCTTGTTAGAGCTGCTGCATCCAAAGTCAGAAGAGTCATGATGTCCAACCTCTGGGAGGAAAAGAAAGGACAGGGAGGCTAGCATACTCTAAATCTTCAAATTATTATTCCACATGTTGCAATTAATTTTGTATTAATTTGAATATTCATATATCAACATTTCAGCACCTTTTATTGGGAAAAAGTTATGGTGATGTGATTGGTGTGAATACACCGTTTGATAAATAGCAAGTATTTATATTTATTTATTTAAAATGTCTTTACCCCACTTTTCTCCTCAAGGGCCCAAATATACACTGCAACAGTTCATTATATTCTAACAAAATGGTTTTGATGGGAGAAGGACATGTCTCTCTTTCTTCTCATTCTCTACAAACAGATCCCTTAGGAGCTATAGGATTTAATAAAGCCTTTTTCTTTCAGCAGATCAACTGGACTGGCATTCTAGCCTGCTTTTCTAAATGGTATGGGGATAAGAAGCCATTTTCTCCATTGCCTCAGGCAATGAAATGTCTTAGGCTGGCCCTGCACCGTAGTAAAGTGGTAAGTGATCTGTAATTGTTGGTTCCTAAACCACTAGGCCTGCCTTATGAAATTCAAAAGGTAGCATTGATGGAGAAATACAGTATGAAAAAGGAAAACAACATAAAATCAAACATAGTAAAATTGTATCTCAAAATTAATAGACGGTGATTTGTCACAGATGTATAATGTCCATTAAATGAACCTACAACATGTAAGTAGGAGACACACTGTCTGGAAACTTTCTTTGAACAGATGAAATGGAGTAAGGATATGAACTGTTTGTACAAGGAGAACTGAGTCCAATCTCACCTTACTGCTGCATCCACTTTTATTGTATTGTTAATTATGTACAGTATATAGGTCTGGGAAAATCTGAATTTTTGACCTTGTCAGTCTGGACCCAATCAGTTGAATCTCAGGAGGAGAACTTTTAAAATTCCTTCCTGGCCAAACTAACATTGATACTGGAAAAGGGATTATGTATTTATGGTTGTAAATGTATTTTAAAATATATTTTTAAAAGAATAGAGAACTAATATTTAGAAACACACATTTATGCTATGAATTTATTATTTTTTGCTTCAGGGCTGGGGTTGGTCTTATTTGATATTACAGTATATCCTGTCTTCATTTCAACCATTCCACCTTCTCTTGTCAGTATATATTTACTACTGGTAATTAAGGAAAAAACTCCAAAGAAATATGCCATCAAGTCAGTTCTCATGTGTGGTGACTATATGAGTTAAATACCTCCAAAATGTCATTAACATCTCTGCTGAGATCTTTCAAACTAACAACATCTCATATTAGGTTTTTTTTCTTCTTCTTAGTGCCCCCCCACCCCAGCAATATTGTCTTTCCAGTAAGTTCTGCTTAGGTCTTGTAAACTAACAGCTGTGGCTTTCTTTATTGTGACAATTTGTCTCATGTTAGATTTTCCTGTCTTGCTACTGTCCCCTCCTTTTCTCAGCTATATTGTCTTTTCTGGTCCATTTTGTATTTACATGATATGTGCCTGGTAGGTTAAGCCTTAGCTTGCTCACTTTTCTTGTAGTGAGAAGTCAGGCTTGACTTCTTTGAGCACCCACTTTTCTGCCTTTCTGACTGTCTGGTGTCTCCTCCAGGACCACATTTCAAATGGGTTGATTTTTGTCCTTTTCTTTCTTCACTGCCTTTCTTTCACATAGTATGAATGATTTTAACTGGTTTCCAGTGAAAATCATCACTAACTCCCAACTTTCTCCTTTTTATTTCAAAAAGTGAAGGGACATCTTTTGGAAAACATGCACACATGTCCATAGAACCTATGGTCTGATAGAGCTTTTCTTCCTCAGTTTGCTTGAGGAAAGGGCTTTCTGAATAATAGTGAGCACAAGAGGGTTTTCTGTAGACCACCTTGACTGTTTCCATTGGTTTTGTCAACGTTTAGAATGCCCTTTGCTATGTAAAGTGTGGCATCCTTTTTCTTGCTGGCAACACATGCACAATATTGTGCAGCAATATTGGGCCATTTACTTGTATTATGAACCGTGGACACAGAAGCACAATATCCTACATTTATAAACAGGAGGTTTTTTTTATTTTTTAAAAAGTATTGATTTATACTTAGAATTTATCCACTGAAATCAATATGATAAATTCTGGATTATTTAGTACCATGGATTTCACTGGACCTTTTAAAAGTATGAATAATTCTGTTTCCGCATTGACTTCAAAGTGTTAATGCTTACATATAAAGCCCTAAACAGTTTAGGACCTCGATACTTGGCGGAACGCTTGCTCCCAATTAGTTCTACCCGTGTCACCCACGCGAGCCAGGAGGTGAGGCTGAGGAGCCTGACGCTGAGGGAGGCCCGGAAAGAAAGAACTAGAAACCAGGCTTTCTCGGCGGTGGCTCCTCATCTCTGGAATAACCTAACTCCGGAGATTCGCGCTGCACCCTCGCTGGGTACTTTTAAATACCAACTAAAAACATGGATGTATAGGCAGGCCTTCCCTTCCAGTTAATTCCTGTCCTCTTTCCTTTCTCTCTCTCTTTATTTGATTTATTTTTATTTTGCCCATCTTATAGAATCATTTAATTAATTAATTGTTATACATTTTTTTAGAACTTGTTATCCTTATGTTGTAAGCCGCCTAGAGTGGTCGAAATGACTAGATAGGCGGGGGATAAATACAATAAATAAAAAAAAATAAAATAAAATATGTAATTGCACATGTGTAACTTCTTATTTATTTTCTAAATCCCGTATGTGCCATAAGGGAAACTTTCCTTCTGCACTTCCATAGCAATCATACCACTGTGACATTCCTCCACCTTTTTCTACATGTTTTAAGCATCTGTTAGTGCTTTAACATAAATGGTGATAATGTTAAGCACTAATTTCTCATCATTTCTTCAGTAGCACCACTTATCCTAAGTTCATTATTTCTTAGTCCACTTCCATTTTTTCTGAGTTTCTTTCTTACCTGCATTGAGTTACATCCATAATTTATCTGTGGATCAGTTGTTCTCATTCTTGCAGCTTAATCCCCACAGAAGTCCCATCTTTTTTGATAAAATATTTAAGTATAATAAACATCAGTGAACACAATACTGTTTATAAAGTTTTGTCCATTGTATTACCCATTCTGAATCTGGTAAAAATATGGAGAAGTTAATACAGAAAGAGGGAGAGTAACGGCATGAAGGAATTATTGCCTCTTAATGACTATGAAGGCCCAAGAGTACATGCAAGCGATGCTTATTGCCCCAATATATGGATGAGAAAAGACACATGTACTGTAGATGCAGAGGACTGATTTTGGAAGTATTGAGATAACAGAAAAAGATTAATATTTATTTAGAAGATGTCACAGTATCAACTCTCAAGACAGAAGGCATACTCCAGCCCAAACCAAGCCCTTTTATTTCAATAGCAGAAGAGTGCTTACGTTGTTAACTCTGATTGACAAACTTTGTCTGATGTGTTAATTAATTTCTGATAAACGGAAACTAAGGTTTTCTAAATTTATGCACAGTACAGAGAAAAGCTTATTCCCCTAGCACATTGCTGCAATAAGTTGAGAGATTCCATCTTCTCTTCATGAAATACATAATTCTGCTTACAGTCTGCAAGATATATAATCTTATTTAGGAAATTAGGGCATGTTCAGATGAGGGAAGTTGGAGTCATCTTCTTCATGCTCAAAAGGTACTTATCTTTTGTGTGATCCATTCTTTATCTCACTTGAGTGACCCGTCCATTCACACTGCTCAACATTTATCCTCTTCTAAGAAGGGTCCACACAGGTCTTTGTATTGCTTCAATTTGTCTCTCTTTTAATTAATGACACCCCCTTCCTCACCTTTTCCTGCAGCTGTCATTCAGTCAGCTCTGGTGACTTTTTTTGTTAAATAAAATAAGTGACATAGTGAAACAGCAATGCATTTACCTAGCATAGTACACATAATGGCATCAATGTATCTCATTTATCT